ATATATATATTATATTATAGTATAATAATATATAGTCATAATTTTTAACTATTCACAACAATTCAACCTCATAATTTACCAAATGTTATTATACTGATTTTTTAACCAGCATAACTATTATAATTATATTTTACCAAAGATTCAGCTGCTTTTTGTAATAGTTGCTTTTTTCTTTAACACAACTAAAAGTAATTTTTTCAAAATCTATAGCACTACCAAACTAAGTCATACAAGAAAAAAACATTGTTCAAACTTTTGCGTGTTAACTAGTGCACTTTTTTTCTGCTGAAAGAAATGTTAACTAGTGCACTGATTCCACAATTTATGCAACTTTCCTTGAGGTACTCATAATGCCATTGGAATATTTCTTTTGGAGGCCTATAATTAGATACAAGTCTCTACTGAAAGCTACTTTTTGTTTTGTGAGTCTAAAATGCTTTTGAAAATATTTGAATGATCTGTCTAAAAAGTTCTCGTTTTGCATAATAACTTCTAATTAAAGTCACAAAATATGATTTATTAAAAAACTTAGGTTGAATACTTCAAACTTGTTCCAGACCTTTATAGACTCCATTCTAATATTTATTTCTTCTACAAAATTTAAAAGTCATTTTACCAATTAAGACGTTGACGACAAAAAACCGGCCGGGTTACCTCTTGGTTTCCCTTTGGATTACCGGCCTATGTGTTGAATGTGTGTGAAAGTTTATTGTTTTTCTGATGTGCGTAAGTAAAGAAGACAAGAAGTTTTATAGTGGTTCACTTTGTAAAATTAGAGCTACATCCACTGTGGTTGTATATTTCTTTTTGAGGGGATTACAATTTACATCAATTGCTATCTCTCACTCTCTTGTTTCTCTGCTCGGATCCCAACAACTTGAGATTTTCTCCCCGGAACCCTTTTTTCACCGGTAAGCTTCATCATCCTTTGTTTGTTTTGCTTACTCATGGGGGTTTTTTCTTTGTTTTTTCTGGTTGATTCACATATGTATGGAGATACGCAGAATGTAGAAATTAGGGATACTTAGTCTGTTTTACTTTGCCGCATAGGACAGTTCTGTTTCCATCTTACTGTTGTCTGTGTTCTTCTGGTTTCTGGGTTCTGAGGGACTTGAAATTTTATGAGCATTCGCCGTTACCATTCTCATATGAATGGTCAACGTTAAGTCAAGGCGTATGAGTAGTCGTCATTTAGAATAGTCACCATTTTCTTCCTCTCGACGCTAGGATTTTAACTCAGCTCATTGCCTTTTTAATCATCAGAACAATGGCCCAAAATTCCCCCAGTCGAGAGGATTCTCCTGTCGTCCATCCAGACTCCCCTTCAATGGTGGAGATCTCATGGTCTTCTTCATCTTCAAGCATCGACTCCGTGCTGAGGGACATAGAAGACGTCGAGGCTGGATATGAAGCCAGATATGTACCAGGCGACAGCTTCGGTAGTGAATTTGGCAGTGTAGAGCGGATGTTGGACGAGGCGGTAGAACGGATCCCCTTCACGGGGGGCAGTGTGGGCGGGGTGGCTGCCTCGATGGTAGATGCCCCCCTGGCTGCCACAAGTGGTGATCCGGATAGGCCCTTTTTTACTGCTGATGTTGTGGCGTCGAGGGTCCGGAATAAAAATATCGTTCGGGCTGTAAAGGAGGGATGCATCGACGGGAGGTGGTTCGAATACCTCCTCCCGGACATGCATTTTAGGACCAGCATGCCGTCGACCGGGTATCTCCCGGTTTACACTAGAGTCGTTACGGCGGGATGACCCTCCCAGTTCATCCTTTCGTAAAGGACTACTGCCATTTTTATGGCATTTCCCCCGCTCAACTGGCGCCGAACTTCTGGTACTGCTTCGCCGGCGCCTGGATTTTGTGGCACCAAAAGTTTGATATGGAACTCCCTATGGACGAGTTCCGGTTTATGTACAAACTATGCCACGTCGCTAAGTGTGAGGGGTGGTATTTTTTGAGCGGACATGGGAGATCTCAGCCCAAATTCAGGAAGTTAATACTGGGGATCCCCTCGTCGTCACATGGGTGGAAACCCATGTTTTTCATAATTCGCAGGCCTTTCAATTTTCACCCTAGCGACCGCCTGCCACATCGAAGGCAGGTGCAAGCGGCGTTTGGGAACGTGGTTGAGAATTTTGGCTTTCTTTTACCTTACTTTGCCTCTTTCTTTTTCTTCGTATGCTGATAATCTTTCTTTCTTCAGTTAACCAGGATCGGCCGAAGTTTTATGGGAACAGCTTGGCGAGAATCGAGAAGGCCTTTTCGTATCTGTCCGAGGTTCGCCATATAGATACCCTCCTGACCTAGGCCAATCTTCGAAGTGCCGGGTTAATCCTTGATCTCCCAGATCTTTCGGACCTAGACGTCGTTCGCGCATACTTCCATTTAAGCGACGAGGGTAACTTCTGCTCTTGATGCCTTTATTTATTACGGCTTTCATTTTCCAAATGCTGACTATACCTTTGTCTCGTCATCTCCGTAGAGATGGCGTCTTTGAGAATCCAACTCCCTGGCAGCCAGCAATCTGGGCCGAGCTAGCAGCCGCTGTTGAATCAACAACCCCCGCCGAGCCAACAGCCCCCGTCGAAGGGAAAGGAGAAAGCTAGGTCTTCTTCCCATGTGCCGAGGAGCAAGAAGACCAAAGGCCCTTCGGGGTCGGAGATGGATCCTGCGCGAAAAAAGAGGCGTAAGGAAAAAACGCCAGTGGCAGAGACGTGGACGCCAACGGTCCCTATTCCTGACGTCGACATTCCCCTGGCGCCGAAAGAGCGCATACTTATTCCGGGGGCTAAAATCATGGATCCTAAGTTTCAAGTCCCGGACGTATCTGACACCGAGATTGGGGCGATGCTAAAACTTCCCCCTCGCTTCTCCCTCGTCTTTCAGGCTCTCTAGGAGTCTTTTCTCGAGCCATACTAGGTTGCTGCCGCTCAATCTTCCTTGGTCGACTGTCAGTGCAAACAAATCTCCTTCCAAATCCACGTAAGATCTTGTCGAGAGTTTTTTTTTTTTTTTTTTTTACTCGTCGTTCTGCATTTCTGTTTTCTGACCTTCAACTTTTTAGAGCCTGGTCCTTTCCATCCTTAACCTCCTTGACCTAGTTAAGGTTGAGGAGCGCGATAAGGAGATGGATGAAGTGGAAGCCAAGCTCAACTCCCTTGTTTCTGACGCCAAAAAATGGTTAGATGATGCCGTCGAGAAGAGGGACGTGGCCATGGCCAAGCTGGTGAGTTTGGAAGATGAACTGGCAAAGTTGAAGGCTAAGGTCGAGGATCTCACGAAGCGGGCAGATCTATCCGATAAAAAGTTGTCTGAAGCAGCTGAGGAAGCGAAGAGGCGTTTCGCTGAGGGGAAGAGGGAAGCCGAGGTAGAAGCTGCATTTGCCTTCGACGCCAGGCGCGCTGAGATTATTGAGGAGTTCAAGGCTTCTTCGGAGCTCACTGACATCCGCACCAAGGATTTTCAATCTGCGGGTCAACAAATTGTCGATCTGATCAAGAATTAGCGTCTAGAGTGGGACTTGAGCTTCCTTTATAACTCTCCTCCTCCTGCTGGCGATGACAACGTTTCCCCGCCTGGTGACGGCGATGAATCGGCGGCGATGCCTGAAATGATTTTTACCTGTCTCTCTCTTTTTTTGTGTTTGTAACTTAATATTGATTTGGACATACCCTTCCTTTTTTTTTATAAAGGTAATGGATTTTGTTCGTACCTTGCTTTGCAATTTGTTGTTTTTAAAAAATTCCTTAGAATTTTGCTAAGTGTCCGTCTTTCTCCTTGGAGAATTTGACGCTGATTTCACCCCTTGGGGTCGTCGCTTTGGAAAATTCCTTAGAATTTTGCTAAGTGTCCGTCTTTTCTCCTTGGAGAATTTGACGCTGATTTCACCCCTTGGGGTCGTCACTTTGGAAAATTCCTTAGAATTTTACTACGTGTCCGTCTTTTCTCCTTGGAGAATTTGACGCTGATTTCACCCCTTGGGGTCGTCGGTTTAGAAAATTCCTTAGAATTTTACTACGTGTCCGTCTTTTCTCCTTAGAAATTTGATGTTGATTTCTCCCCTTGGGGTCGTCGCTTTAGAAAATTCCTTAGAATTTTACTACGTGCTCACCTTCCCTCCTTGGAGGATTTGACGTCGATTGTACCATTTGGGGTCGTCGCTTTAGAAAATTCCTTAGAATTTTGCCAAGTGCTTGCCATGTTTTTAGTGATTTGTGGACCTCTGTCCCCCCATGTCTGTTTGATATAACCTTATTTTTTTAAGCAGACATGTTATTAAGGGGTGAATTCCTTTCTTTATGCAAACATGTTAATTTATTTAATTCGTAGAGAATGTACAATTGAAATGCGTAAGAATTACATACACTATTGGTAGTACAGCCTTAGCTGTTTTGCATTCCACGGGTGTTGAATCCTCTTGCCATCGAGGCTTTCTAAAACGTAGGTGCCAGGACGTAGTACTTCCCTTATGCAGTAGGGCCCTTCTCAAGTTGGGCCCAGTGGACCAGTATTTTTTGGTTTTGTATTCTACGTTACCCTTTTTAATACTAGGTCCCCTGGGACGAACCTTCTTTGCTGAACTTTCTTGTTGTAATATCGCGCTGCTCTTTGCTGATAAGCGGCGAGGCACAGTTGGGAGTCGAGCCTTTTTCTTCCAACAAGTCAAGTTCCCCGTTCATGCCTTCCGTGTTGTCATCGTCGTTATGGACGGCGGTTCTTAGAGTCGGCATTTTGATTTCTATGGGGAGCATTGCCTCGACGCCATACACCATGGAGAAGGGCGTTTCACCTGTAATAGTTCGGCTCGTCGTCCTGTATGCCCATAAGCCCTTGGAAAGTTCCTCAGCCCATCTTCCTTTTAGATCATCGAGTCTCTTTTTGAGGGTGTACTTTAATATTTTATTGACCGCCTCGACTTGTCCGTTAGATTGTGGATGGATTGGTGCCGAGAAGTCTTTCCGAATGTCCAGGCTGTCACAAAATCTGCTTGTTGAGGCATTGTCGAACTGCTTCCCGTTGTTGGATACTATTGAGTGGGGAACCCCAAACCTGCACACGATGTTGTCCCACATGAATTTGGTGCAAGCCGCTTATGTTGTTGTAGTTAGAGCCTTTGCCTCTGCCCACTTCGTGTAGTAGTCTACCGCGACGATTGTAAATTTAAAGCCTCCGGGCGCAAGATGTAATGGCCCGATCAGGTCAACCCCCCATTTGGCGAAGGGCCATGGACTGAGAATGGAAGTTAAATTTTCTAGGGGTGCTCTAGGAATTGTGGCATACCTTTGGCATTTATCACAACGTCGGGTGTATTGAAAAGCGTCTTTTTTTAGCGTAGTATCCTTGCCCTAATACCTTTAGAGCCAAAGACTGCCCCCAGTGTGGTTACCGCAGACCCCTTCATGGATTTCTTGGAGGACCTTCGGGGCCTCAGCGTTATCCAGGCACCGCTGTAGAGGTGTTGAGTAGCCTCGTCGGTAGAGCAAGCCGTCGTACAACAAGTACCTAGCAGCTCTATACATGATTCGTCTGGCTTCGTCTTTATTGTTTGGTAGTTGTGCTTCCATTAGGTATTGGATGAGGGGCGTCATCCAATTTTTGCCTGTTTGGACGATTAATGCTTTAGCTTTTTCTTCAATAGTCGGCCGCTCCAATTCTTTGATAGGGACGACCCCCAGTGCGTCAGAATCTCTTGAAGATGCTAGCTTTTTCAGAGCGTCGGCGTTTGTATTTTCAGTTCGTGGTATCTGAAGTATCTCGTAGTTCTTGAACTTAGCAAGTTCTTCCTTTACCTTCCTCAAGTACGCTCCCATCTTTTCGCCGCGTGCTTGGTATTCTTCTTTTACTTGCCCGACGACCAGTTGAGAATCGCTGAAGACGCTGAGCCTTTCCATTTTCAGGTGGCTGGCCAATCGCAGTCCTGCGATTAGCGCTTCGTATTCCGCCTCATTGTTCGACGCCTTGAATTTAAATCGAACCGTCGAGGTAATCTTGTGGCTTTCTGGGCCGATTAACAAGACGCCAGCTCCTGACCCGCTTTCGCTCGACGCTCCATCCACGTAGAGCTTCCATCATGTAGTCTCGACTTCTTCAGGCGTGGTGGAAGCTGGTCTATGGGAGAATTCGGCTAGAAAATCAGCCAACGCTTGGCCCTTGATCGTAGTTCTTGGCACATATTTTATGTCGAACTGGCTCAGTTCTACCGACCATTTGAGGAGTCGACCGGAAGTTTCGGGCTTTTGCAGAGCCTGTCTCAATGGGTGGTTTGTAAGAACCCGTATGGTGTGAGATTGGAAATAGTGCCGAAGCTTTCTCGAAGCTACCATCAGGGCGAGGGCTAAGCGCTCCATTTCGCTGTATCTTGATTCGGCGTCGAGGAGCCTCTTACTCACATAGTAGATTGGCAATTGCACCCTTTCTTTCTCCCTTATCAGTACGGAACTTACGGCGTGTTGGGACACGGAGAGATATAGGCTAAGCTCTTCGTCGAGGTTTGGTTTTGACAGAATTGGAGGTCTGTCCAAATGTTCCTTCAATCCCCGGAAGGCCTCTTCACACTGCGGTGTCCACTCAAAACGCTTGCCTCCTTTCAAAGCGTCGAAAAGGGGATGCATTTGTCTGTTGCCTTTGATATAAACCTGTTTAGGGCGGCGACACATCCTGTCAACCTTTGCACCTCCTTTGGCTTGGTTGGGGATCGCATGTCCTGCAGGGCTTTAATTTTCTCCGGGTTAGCTTCTATCCCTCGGTTGCTGACCATAAAGCCGAGAAATTTCCCCAACCCAACTCCAAATGCACATTTCTGGGGATTTAGTTTCATGTGGTATTTTCTCAATACACCAAACATCTCACCCAGATGGTCGACGTGCTGGCTGGCCCTGGCGCTTTTAACAAGCATGTTGTTGACGTATACCTCCATGGTTTTGCCGAGCTGTTGAGC